CGTCGGCTCTTACACACCTCTTCTCTCTGCTAGGCTGGTGGTAAAGCTGGGAAGGACTCTGGAAAGACCAAGACTAAAGCGGTGTCCCGTTCTCAGCGGGCTGGATTGCAGGTGAACAGGGACTCGGGGGGTGGGCAAGTAAAAGTTAGGTTAGCCTTCCATCTCTGGGTTGGTTGTACCTCGTGAAACCTGCACGATCTGCCTTCTGTCTGTTGTCCAGAATGGTGTAAGCATCTGTTTAATCCTTGAGTGGGTTAATGTCCGGTTTGACTATTTTTAGACCTTTTGCATATCTGTGTGGGGGGAAGAGAATTTCCTTGTGGCTGGTGGTTAAGTTGCTGATGTGAAGTTGGCATACAGTGTCTGTAGCTGGATTCTCAAGTATTGAAATGTAGTCTAGTACCAGTTGTACTTCTGCCACTGGGATTCTGTTGCCCAGCATGTGGTTTAGAGTAGTGGCTTTCTCTTTCTGTCTCTGTCGTCACAGCCTATTCATAGTTCTGTTATTTTTCCAGTTCCCTGTTGGCCGCATCCACAGGCATCTGAAGTCTAGGACTACTAGCCATGGGCGTGTAGGAGCCACAGCCGCTGTGTATAGCGCTGCAATCCTGGAGTACTTGACAGCTGAGGTAAAGCTCCTGCAAGGGGTGCAAGCAAGTTGGTCAACTCTGAAATAGCATCATGACCAGACCCTACTGTATTTTGCCAGTTTGGACTGGACTGTGAATTCTTCACTTGCTTTGAACTAATTTTAAGTACGTGCATCATCAAGGGGATGATGACATATGCATGGGCCCTTTTGCTCTGCGTTTTGGACAGATCAAATAGCTGTGACTATAGGAAAGATGGAAGTGTGAAGTATTTTATAAAATGTGCCATTAGTGTGTCATATCTGCTGTAAAACACTTACCGTGTTCTTGGGGAAAACTAAACACAGAGCTGCAAGGGAGGAATCCTTTCAAAAGAGGCATTATTTGCTGTCTTGATGTCACTAATGGTGTAGTTGGTGTAGAGAACAACATAGCTAAGGCTGTGCGGTTGGTCTCACTTGATTTGTGTAACTCACTAAAAATGGTCTTCTCCTCAGGTTCTTGAGCTGGCAGGAAATGCATCCAAAGACTTGAAGGTGAAACGTATCACTCCCCGTCACTTGCAGCTTGCAATTAGAGGAGATGAAGAACTGGACTCTCTCATTAAGGCAACAATTGCTGGTGGTGGTACGTAAATTGCTTGCTGTTTGTGATGAGTTAGGTGACAAGAACTCTTAAGAGACTAGAAGTTGCTTAATGCTGTCATTTTACTTGAAGTGCAAAGTTTTAGGAAAATTGTTGGAAGAGAAATAACATGATCTTAACTGTTACTCTTTCTTAGGTGTAATACCACATATCCACAAGTCCCTTATTGGAAAGAAAGGACAACAGAAAACTGTCTAAAGGATACCAGGATTCCTTGTTATCTCAGGACTCTTAAGTACTTAATTGTCCAGTGTTGGTGATTCCAGTGGACTGTATCTGTGAAACACAATTTTGCCTTTTTGTAACTTCGAGAAGCTAAAGCTCCCTTGAGCTTTCTAACAAACCAAATTTCTGCATTGAAGTCTTAACCATATTTAAGTGTTACCATGGCTTCAAAGAAGCTATTGTATTTGTAGTGGGTTTTGATTGAGCTGACTGTTTTTAGATTGGTTTAAGTAAAGGAAATGTTTGGTTTTGTACAGACTTTTCATCCACTAGAGTGGAAATATTCAATAAATGTTATATCAAGACTGATTGTTTCTTGTCCACTAACTGAAAAATACTTGGTCTCGACTACACAGCTCTCAAAGTTCTTCCAAGAAGATGCAACTCTGACAATCCTACCAGCTGTGCTGGGGCTAGCTGGAAACACAGTCCTAGGATATTGTGCTTGGTAAATACCATCAAGTGACATGGCACGTGGGCTTTATCCTGCAAAGGTACATACTTGTACATACTTGCTAAGTGAGCCTGTGGTCTAGCAGGGCAGATGTTAGGCTGGCGCTATTTAAGGCTGGTTTTGTTTGATGCCCACCTTTGTAGAGGGGAGGGATCTGTCATGAAGTGGTGAACTCAATGGATGTTGAAAATCCAAAGCTTTTGGCTTCATGGTAGAGCCTGATGCCTCTCACCTTTCTTTTTGTGAGAGATGAGGCAGGCTTACCCAGAAAGGCAGGGGCTGTACTGCAGCAGCCTCAATGGGCTCATAGGGTATGAACTTCAAGGAAGAGTCTAAAACCTGCTTCCAAGGTAACAGTTACATAGCTCTGTTTTGGTGTGGCTTTTCCATGGGTGGGCTTTACCTCTGTTGGCTGTGGGAAGTTGGAAAGCATTTGCTGTCTGAGGCCATGGAGTGACAAGGGGCCAAGCTACATAATTGGCGTTTAAGGGTGTTACAGTTTTAACTTCTGCCACACAGTAGCATCCTCAGAAGCAGCAGATGAAAAGGGTGTTCAGGTCACATCTCTAGCTGTGCTGGCCCAGCTCTCTCCAAGTTCATTCTTCCTAGAGCAGGCCTGCGTTTGTGTGGTAAGGGAAACCTCATGTGTTTTAGGATGCAAAAGCTGCTGTCAAGACTGGTTCCTGTGGCTGGGGGCCACAAGCCCTAGGTATTCCAGATCTGCTCCTCCAGCAGTGAAATACTTCACATAAAGGTGTTTCTGCATAGAACAGGCTAATCTGCTTCTATAACCTCTTTTAGGTAACACTCTGCTGCTGTACTGTAGCTGGAAGGTGTTGACCTACATTGTAAGTGTTGGTTAGTCCTATAGTAACTGCACTTGTCTTCTGGAGCTGTGGTGCCAAGTGCTTTCTTCCCAGCAATGCAGTTCTTGGCAGGATGTAATTGATAGGGCTGATTATAGTGTTCAAGGTGCTAACACGTACCTTAAAGCATACCCTCACTTCTGCAGGGACCCCACAAAGGCTGCGGCAGGCCGGCCTGGTGCGGTGCTTCCCGGACCGCAGTGCAGCTCTAGCACACAGCCGCCCGCCCGGCACTTTTCTGTCGCAGCTGG